TAGAATGTATTTCTAAGCACAAGGACACCACCCTTTCAAAAATATAATGATTAATACCATTAGCACCATTGTTCAAAATGAATAATGACTCCTTAGTGTCATCTAATATCCACGAGGTGTTCACTTTTTCCAGGATTGTCTCATATATGCCTTTTAACTGTTGGCTTCTTTTCATCTGGATCTAGACGAGGTCGAGGCATAATGTAGGAATGACACATATTCTGTTGTCATTCCACTTCCTCTTTTTTCCCTTGCTGGATGCAAAGAAATTGTTAAAAGTCTTGCTAAAATTTGATGGCTTCATCCTATTCTTACTTAATACCTCAAGGTAAAATACACATTTATGGCTTTTGTGTGTGTGTGTGTGTGTGTGTGTGTGTGTGTGTCTGTTGCCCAGGCTAGAGTGCATGGCCTCAGCCTAGCTCACAGCAACGTCAGTCTCCTGGGTTCACTGATCCTCCTGCCTCAGCTTCCCAAGTTGCTGGGACTACAGGCTCCTGCCACCACATCCAGCTCTTTTTTCTATTATTTTTTTTTTTTTTAGGGTCTCGCTCTTGCTCAGGTTGGTCTCAAACTCCTGAACTCAAACCATCCTCCTATCTCAGCCTCCCTGAGTGCTAGGATTATAGGTGTGAACCACCACTCCCAGGCAAAATACACATTTATGACAAGCCTTTTTTGCTTATGACAGTGGATAAATTTCACATTTCCAAGTCTCCTTGGTAGTTGTTTTTAGCAGATCTGATTAGACTGCTTTTGTCCTAATTTGTACTCAGATTGTTGCAAAGCTCAGATGAGCTCTGCCAGCTTCTCACCGTTCCCCTGGGCTTACACTGTTAGTCTTCAATTCAGTGAACGCAGTTTCTTTGCATCAACCTTTTACAACCACCTGTTCAGCTTTTGAGAGTAAACATTTTATATGTCTTAAGCCACCCATTTTTTCTACATTTTATCGCCTATGAAATTGGTTTGCATATTATAATCAGAGGTGAGTGGTTGTCTAATAGAGAGCATTTTCCTTTCCCATTTGGCTCATTAAACAATGGCACATCCTACATTCAAAGGGGCCTTACATTTGATGGAATATACTAGGTCATTTAACCTAAGTAATATAAAGGCCTCTCTCTGTGGAACTTCTCTGAAAAGTGGGCAACCTCTATGGGACAGGCATGCGGAGGCAGGTGGACAAGTCAGGGTTTGACCAAAAACACACAGCCTTTCTAAGTCTTCAGAATGGAAGGGGTTTAATACATTATCATCTTATACAGCTGCTGGGAGGCAGTGGTCCAAGGTGAGGGAGGAAATTTCTAGAAGTCCAGGACTGCAAGGGCTGCAGAGAAGCTTCCTCAATGGTCTCAGCTGCCTCCACGAATGAAGGGAATGAAGCCCGAGGTGACAGCCAAAGGCTGCTGCCAAACCCCCCATGTGCCTTCTACTGACACTCAAAGGCCTGGCCTGGGCCACCACCCAGAGGAAAATCGTTTATCCTTACCTTCCTCCTTCCAGAATCCCGACAGAGCACAAATCTAAGAACCCAACTCTGCTGGCAAAGGAGTATGGGTAGTGTTGCTTCCAGGTTTCATGCCTGCAATGACAGGGAGAGACTGAGAAAGCTGGGATGGTGACAAGTTCCAACAATGTCCAGCACTTCAGAACACTCTCCAGCAGTGAATACACATGCTATCCACAGAGAAGCTTAAACTGTCTCATCGTACGTGAATACAAAGGGAAGGTGTGATGTATGTGCCCTGCTCCCAATGCATTTTCTACCCCCAGGGAGTGTGCACACCCTACCCTGCCCCTGACATCTGTGGACTTGAGCATCCAAGGGCAGCCAAAGCAGGAGAGGGGTGAGGCCAAAGTGGAGTGGGGCTCTCAGAAGCCTTGACCCTGCCGTGGTTGGCCTCTTGCCCGTGAGGGATCATTTCCACAAACAAAGGTGCTTAAGTGCTTTGGTTCTCTGGCTGAAGGACAGGACACACGATTACTGAGGCCTTTTGATACATCACTTATTGTCACTTGGAGCTGACTCATGTGCTGTGTTGTAAGTGTCCCAAGGTTCTCCTTTTCACGAATGTTGGCTCATCTGTTATGTTCTAGGCAGCTCAAGGGGAGAAGCCAGGTGCCTCACTTTTTAAGGATCTCCCCTCAGTGCTGATAGCACCCCTTCAGTCAGAGAAGGCGATCCCTTATCCTTACAGCTACCTCCAGTGTGGTAGGGAGTGGCCAAGCTCAGTCTGAGTATGCGCTTCCTCAGGAGAGCTGCTCTAAAGGTTCCATTTCATCAATGTCACGGACAACATGGGGAGCAGGGAGGTAAAGGAAAGCTGGCTGCCTGCTCTGCCTGCTGCGGATCCCAATGGTTTGCCCCTCTGTACCTCCTCTCTGCCCCAGAGCTCTCCCTCTCTGCTTGGATCAGCATCAGGGGATTGTACTTAAGTCCCAGCATCAAGCTGTAGAAAGAGCCCCAGAAACTGAGACTATTTCATTCACGCAGCCAACCCTGAGTCCAAGCCCATCTGTAGCTTGAAAAAGCACTGCTTTTTCTAACTACATTGCTACTAGACACAGCTTTTACATTTTAATTTCAAATATTAATATTACACAAGGGCATGGCATTTTTATCCCTACAGGAGCCCTAAACTCTACATGTACTTAAGACATGCCCACT